GAAGTTAAGACATCTCCAATCTGCAATTGACTTGCCGTTCTGGATGGATGGAGATACAATGATAACGAAGGATCTTGATCCTTGTTGGGAGCGATGCAAGAGGATCTTGACGACTTCTTCTCTTTCTCCTTTTCTCATGATGACGAGACGGTACTAAGCGACTGGATTAGCACAACTCTTATACCATAAGAAATTGATGCGAGCCCAATCCCCAGGACCTGGGCCCAAGAAGAAGACATGGAGGCAAGGGAGCTGGTGACACCAGTAGTGGGAGGCCAGGGATTTTTGGCTTGGAATTCTCGACCGGTGAAAAGAGAAGGAGGTCGGGGAAAGCAAGCAGGGGGCTCCCAGACGATGCCCCTAAATACCTGACCGGGTATTTTGCCCGGGTTTCGGGGCTGACCGATGAAATTTGGAGTTTTTAATTTGTTTTAATTCTTTTAATCGTCCAGACCTATATAAAGGCTGAAGCTTGGGTTTAAGGGTTAGTTTTTTTAGCAGAATATTGATTTTTATCTAGGTTTTGAGCTTGATGCTTGAACTTTTCTCTGTATCAATCAAGTTTTCCCCTTGATTGTGGTCGAGATTCTATCTTTTTATATTGATTGAGCCTTCTCCCGATTTGTGTTGAGACTGCACTTTCAATTCAATCCTATCACTATAGCTTTATCTATGTCCTTAGTTGTGTTACTTTGATAACTACGGGGACAGGATTCGTGCTCGTATCATAAATTAACAAGAAATGCAATACAAAAGATGACACAACGATTTTACGTGGTTTAGCCTCACAGTGGGTGATAGTGAGACTTACATCCGCATAATATACTTCTCTTATTACTTGGTTATGACCAGAGGCCTTACAAACAATATATATCGAATTCTTTCAACATGCATCATTAGGGTTTCACGTAAAAAGAGAAGAAAAAATCCAAGTCGGGCATGGCAAGTCGTCGTCTCGAATTGTGGACTGGAACTCCTCTCTTGCGGAGTGTGTGACAAGGTGGCCCGAAGGGGACTCACGGTCTCATAGTGGTTACTTGTTGAAAGCCAAATGGATGAGGAGGCGATGGACGATGACGAGGTTCACACGTTCTTCAAGTTCCAGCTCCAGTGGTATCGAGGTGAAAAAATAAAAAAAATTATTTTTATTATTTATTAGTTCTTTTTATCCACTTAATGATAAACGATTATAGTTGACCGCATATAGGACAAATTTCATGAAACTGGACGACAAGTGACATAAGATGAAACAAGCTTTAAAGCACTGTTATTAAAGCCGACCTGAGCCGGTCGGTTAGACTGGTAAAACCGACACCCGGACGCCAGCCTGGGTCGGAACTATCTAATAGTCGTAACGATAAAAAAGCCGATTTTTGAGCGGCCAAAATGGTTAACCATTTGAACCGCTCGGACCGTCCGACCGATTTTTGGTTTCTAATAGTCTGGAACTAAATAAAAAATTCAACAAAAAAAATTTTGGGTTCAATTACGTCGCGCGGGGTGATTTCCTGACGACACAATCACTGCTGGCGAACCCATTGTCTTCTCCAGCAATCGAATCGTGGCAGTCCCTCCGACGGCGGCGGTGCTGCTTCTGGGTTACCATCCACCGCTCCCTCGCAAGCATGAGGTGTCGTCGCCTACCGGTCTTTGTCCTCCATCTTCCTCCCTTCATCGCCATCGCTAGAAGGGTAAGAGAGGTTGGTCGTCGTTGTCCGCTGTTTGGGAGAGGGCGGCCGGCCAGCCGCTGTTTGGAAACTGAGAGAGGAGAGAGAGAAGGAAACAAATGAACAAGGAGAGTGAAAGGCGACCGCTTAGGGTCGGTGGGGGTTAGGGTTTGTTATTTAGTTTATATATATGTAAATAGTAAAATTACTAAGTGGTACTTGCAAAGTAAATTTTATTTTAGTCACTAAATTATTATATTATTACCTTATGTGTCTTCTACTTATGATATTATTGTTTATAAGGTATCGGTTCTCTAACGAGGTTTTAACTGTCGAATACCGGTTGGACTACTTAAATGCGAGTTGTTCACATTATCGGGTCATCCTCCGGGTTGGTTCTGACAACTTTGCTTGAAAGTGAATGACTAACGAGTAACAAGATTTTTTTTTTGTCAAACATGAATTTTTTTTGATCAAGTATAATTTACCAAGAGGATTAGGAGCTATTAAATACGTCTATCATCCCAAGACAAATTTGTGACATTCAATGGTCAAACTGAAATTGTTTACGTTGAAAAAATGTGGTGTATGGATTAGAGGGGTTAGGAACACCATTGAATACACATAACACATATCAACTTCAACATTGATTTTAATCAACAAAAAAGTAACTTATGATCTCACCAGTCACCATATCACACAATTAAATACCCATCCTTTACTCCATTAACCTACCCATTTCCCCATCCACCCTTTTTACCGCGCTCATACGTTCTGGCACCCACGGTAATAAAATAACAAAAAAATGAATCACAGGAAGTAAATGAATTGAATGGTCAGAGGAAGAAAGGGAAATGTCAGTTCAATGGGATCCTGCAGAGTAAAGGGAAGAAAGAAGAAGGGGGTAAAAAATTCGTTCATGATTCAATATTCATTCACATACATCATCAATCAGAGAGTAAAAAAGGTTCAGAAGAAGAAAGGCAGCCCATCAAATCTTTTGTAAACAAAAACTTCCAGATTTTCAAAACGGGAATCATAACAACAAGAAAAATATTTTCTTTCTGTTTTTCCTGATAACAAAGAAGTACAGTGGTAACAGTTTTTCTCGCCATCAAACTCTCCAATTCCCGCAACTGCATTCTCACTGGTCCATTTTTTTTCCTGAGTTTTTACCTGTCTTTGTTTGTACTTTTGGGGTTTCGTTTGGGCTATCCATCAATACTGAAACTCAAATCATTAATAATGGCTAATATATCCATAGATGTGATCTTTCAATCAGCATGTATGTGTTGTGTTTTTCTTTTTTGGTAGAATATGTGTGTGTTTTGGTTTCAAAGACAATGATGTAAACTTCTTTTTCTACTTCATGACAAAAGTATTTATTTGTTCTTAAGCGATTGAGGTACATGATAGACTATTAAAAGTGTACGATAATGATGTTAAACACATGATTCCAGTTAATGACCAAGTTTGCAATGAATACTTATTTAGCAACCTTAGAATCATCTTGCTGCCAAGGAGCTCGATATTTCAAAGATCAGCGAATGATAATTACTAATATAAATCATTTGTTAGACACCCATATTTAGTCATCCATCCGCATTTAGATTCCCTTACAACTTTTATACTCCCAACCCTACATTTCTTAAATTTAGCTAATCTCTTTCTGTCTTTCAAATATACTGTACTTATGTAAATTCTACTATATTATTTTCACTTGAACTTTTTAATAGTTTGCCATAATTTTTGAGAATACAATTTTTTATATTCTTTTTAAATTCTGAGACAAAATTTTCTACAGTAAATAGCCGTTAATACTTAATACAAGATGAGTTTACATTATGGTTACATATGTCTACTTATTTGTTTATTTTTTAAACATAATACCCACAAAAGATAAACATAAAATAAAATAACAAGATAAAGATGATGTAATACTTGAAAATTAAAAATAACTTCCTCTCAAATCTTCTTCTTTTCCTCTCAAATTTGAAAATTTGGTGGAATTTTTTGGTTGAGTTTGAGGAGAAACTTCCCCATCCTTCCAAATACCGATATATGCACAATGGGTTGGAGTTGGTCTTAGAAACCCGTGGGATTTTTCATTAAATAAACATCAACCCAAGTCTTTGAAACCCTAAAACACATCTAATAAGCAACCAATACAATTTTAATTAATATCACTACTAACAAGAGAAGATCAATCTCGAAAATTAGGAATGACAATGTGACAGGTCGGGCGAGAATCTCGATATCAACATCCGCTTCGTGGTTGGTTGGGTACATATATGATAATTTATCATGGGATGCAGATCGAGACTAGTCGACCAATATGTGTGTAATTTAAAGAAAAAATTAAGGAACACTATAGCATTGTAAAAGATAGTTAAATTATTCGAGAACTTGAGATTCTCATTTCTCACCAACTTTCAACTTTATTATATAGCTCAAATATAATGTAATGGAAGTTAAATTCTACGTAATTTAAGTAAGATTACAAATAATTTAGGGTTAATTGCATGGTTGGTCACTAACATTACAAAAAGCGTTCATGTTTGGTCACTAGAAAAATTTAAATCCATTTTTGGTCACTAACTTTACAAAAACCGCTCATTTATGGTCACTCTCCGTTAGCTGCCGTCCAACGCCGTTAACAGCGTCCGTTAAGTGATGACCTGGCTGACGAATTCGCCTAATCAGCACCTTTTAACCCCAAAATTGACTGACCCGACCCGCCACGTCATTTAAACCCGCCATGTCAGCCAAACCTAACCAAACCTCTACCCAAACCCGACCAGACCCAACCCACCAACAAAAATGACCCGCCCGCCACTAATCAAAACCTAATTTCTAAAACTAAAACCCTACAGAACATTCCCCTTCTCCTCTCCATCTCGCGCCGCCGTCATCTCTCCCGCGAAAGTTCCTCTCCACTCGTTTCATCGGCGATGAAGGAGGAATGGAGTCCGCCAATGAGTGTGGTTGACCCTTCTTTGAAACAGAGAAGGAGTGATTCACGTAGCAAAATCTCTATATCCAGAGTTCATTAAGTGAAGAAACATGGTGAGAACACCTTCCTGTGACCAAAATGGGATGAGGAAAAGGACCTGGACTGCAGAGGAAGACAGGAAGCTGATCGCCTATGTCACTCGCTATGGCTGCTGGAACTGGCGCCAGCTCCCCAAATTTGTAGGTACTTGAGACCAAATTTTTTTTCTCTCTTAGCCTTTGACTAGAAATCAACAACTGGGTTTCGGTCAAAATCAACTGGGTTTCACTCAAAAATCAATTCTGAGCAAAATTGAGATTCAACTTTTTTCAAGGCTGAAAATGTGCGGGAAGAGCTGCAGGCTGCGGTGGATGAACTACCTCCGCCCCAATGTGAAGAGAGGGAATTACAGTAAAGAGGAAGAAGAGACCATCCTCAACCTCCACTCATCCCTTGGGAACAGGTAATTAATTTACAGCTCGCTTCCTGCCAAGTTCATTCAGTCATAGAACGAACCACTGAAATTACAGTAACTAACCACTCGTTTCATCAGCGACGAAAGAGGAACTTTCGTGGGAGAGATGACGGCGGCGCGGGATGGAGAGGAGAAGGGGAATGTCCTGTAGGGTTTTAGTTTTAGAAATTAGGTTTTGATTAGTGGCGGGTGGGTCATTTTTGTTGGTGGGTTGGGTCTGGTCGGGTTTGGGTAGAGGTTTGGTTAGGTTTGGCTGACATGGCGGGTTTAAATGACGTGGCGGGTCGGGTCAGTCAATTTTGAGGTTAAAAGGTGCTGATTAGGCGAATCCGTCAGCCACGTCATCACTTAACGGACGCCGTTAACGGCAGTTAACGGAGAGTGACCATAAATGAGCGGTTTTTGTAAAGTTAGTGACCAAAAATGGATTTAAATTTTTCCAGTGACCAAACATGAACGCTTCTTGTAATGTTAGTGACCAAGCATGCAATTAACCCAAATAATTTAGATAAAAACAAGTCAAGAACAAGCTAGTTAAGTTGAGTAGAGTTTACATTCTCGCCCTACCAACAAAGCAAATATTACCTCCAAAACATATCAAATAGGTTGGATAAAACGAATTAATAAGTGAAAATTGTCTCTCATAGAAAATCTCTCATTTTTATAAGGGTTAATATTTTCGTATGGCCTGAACTTTGACCAAAGTAAACATCCTGGCCAATCTTTTCGATCTATAACATTCTGGCCCGAACTATACACCAAAGTAAACAATTTGGCCAAATCAGACTTTTGACCGTTAACTTCGACGGTCAAACGCGTTGACCGTTAGTCAACGCGCCATCTCACCGCCAACTCAGCAATAAATAAAAAAATTAATTTCCACCTAGCCCATTTAATTTCCACCTAGGTCTTTTCTCAATTTGAAGACGGAAAAAAAAAAAACCAAAACGATGCGAATTGCCCTAACTCTATCTTATCCATATCGCTCCCATCCCCATCCACAGAAATCACCCGCCGACCTCACCTCACCTCACCTCACCTTCTCCTTCCTTCATCGTCGAATCTCCTCACCTCACCGACTGAAAAATGCAGAGCAGGCGGAGAACGGGATGGTGAAAGAAGGGTGCGCGCCCTTCAAGCCCAACAACCGGATTGAAGTGACCAAGCTGGTGAAACATTCCAGGAGAGCCTCTTGCCTACTGGGAAATCAAAAAGAAATTGATTGGCAAAATCCTAATTAACGGGGGAAAAACCCTAATTTCAAGCAAAAAGGAGAAGCTAGGGTGTTTTTACATTTGGGGGATCGGAGTTGATATCTCGGCAGCGTCCGTATCTTCATCCCAAGACGAGGAGAGGTGTCTTCTGGCGGATTTGGTGTTGGAGTCTCCCGCGACAGTGTATGTAGAGCGGCGATGGAGGTTACCGGCGTCGAGGGTTCGGGTGCGGCGAGAGAGCGAGGCGGGTTGCTTCTCGGGGGTTTGGGTGGTCGGGAGATTTGCCGGCGCCGGGTTGTGGGCCGATCCGGATGGTTTTTTTAGGGTTCGGAATCGGGAGCGGGATGAGCAACACGAGGCTCGTCGGAGTTCATAGCTGGAGAGAGATAGAGAGAGATTGGTACGGGGGCGGAGACGACTGCGCCGACGAGAAGAGAGATTGAGAGAGAGAAAGAGAGCGCGGCGGGGAGTGGAGCGTTAGGGCGGACTGAGAATTGAAGACAGGACTGGATTTGCTTTAAGGCAATTAGGGGCAATTCGCATCGTTTTGGTTTTTTTTTTTTTCGTCTTCAAATTGAGAAAAGACCTAGGTGGAAATTAAATGGGCTAGGTGGAAATTAATTTTTTTTTTATTGCTGAGTTGGCGGTGACATGGCGCGTTGACTAACGGTCAACGCGTTTGACCGTCGAAGTTAACGGTCAAAAGTCTAATTTGGCCAAATTGTTTACTTTGGTGTATAGTTCGGGCCAGAATGTTGTAGATCGAAAAGATTGGCCAGGATGTTTACTTTGGTCAAAGTTCAGGCCATACGAAAATATTAACCATTTTTATAAATATAGTAAGATATAAGGGTGTAAGTCTGGAAGAAAGAAGTGGCCATTTCGTAAATATAGTAAGATATAAGGGTGTAAGTCTGGAAGGAAGACACCCTTTTCTTCGAGTTTTGTTTTCCTTCTCTGTTACTAAACTGAAGCCCTGAAGGTGGCGTAAGGGAGAAGAGGCCCCTCTCTCTGCTGGCTGTTACTACTTCTGCTCTCTCCCTAAATTTCCAATTTTAATTTCCTTTTCTTTTCGCCTTTCTCTCACACTCGTTAGTGGGAATTGTTCTCTTCTTCCCCTGATTCTCCCCTTCCCTTGTTGTTTCTTCCTTCCTTTGGGGCTTCTTCTCCTTTTCCTCTTTCCCTCTGCTTTATATCCCTTCATTTTCCTACTTTACTTTGTTCCTTCTTTCCTTCCTCCTTCCGCCTCCTCCCACCGCCATCTTTCTCGCCTTGTTCTGCAATGGCGGACATTACTCACCTTCCCATGGAACAACTTCAAGACCTCGAGTATTGCATAGATTCCAACCCTCCTTGGGGTACGTGCATCTCTGTTACCTTTTGTTGGTTTTCAAGTTTCATTCTTTTTCTCCGGCGGGTTTCCCGTTCCCTTGGTTGTCAGCATGTCTCACTCCGTTAATGGCGAAAGCTTAAAAAAAAAAAGTTCGAATCTTTACGGCGTTTTGCTGACTTGGGTTGAAGGAAGTTCACTGTGGGATAAACGAACGACATTGTTGTTAGGTTTAGCCTCTGTTTTAGCCACTCCCCTGGTTTTCTGTATTGGGAAGGCGGAGATAAGGTTGGCAGTGGAGAGTGAGAGAATCAGAAACGTTTCTGGAACATCATGGATGGAACTGTTACTTTTTTTTTTTTTGGGTTTACCTCCTTTTTTTTATTTGGTTTGTTGTTGTTTTGTTTAAGGTACAATGGTCAAAGCTATCTTAAATGTTGTTGTTGGGGATGGGGGGGTTTCTTCAGGTAGGGACGCGGCTTTCTGTTTTGCGTTGCTGTGATTTTGTTTGGCTGCAAAAGAATCGGGGGAAAACATTATTTTAGCTCCTGCTATTTTGTCGTGCAGTTAAGGGAAGAATTTCAAATGAATTTTCTGAGGGGGTTTGATTTTTCAAGTCAAATCTTAACAGTCCTTGCATTGTCAACGGACATTCACTAAAGAAATGGGACGTTCTGATTACTCCTTAAGTTTTGTATGAACTAATGTTTAGTTTGATTTTGCTAAGGTTGTTGCCATTGCTGTCATTGAATTGCAGTTGAAACCATTGCCTTGGCATTTCAGAACTACATACTGATGCTAGGCACAAGTGTGATGATACCTTCGATACTAGTTCCGGCCATGGGTGGCAGCGATGTAAGGTTTCACTGAATGCATTGGTTCATTAGTAGAGAGCTCGGTTGTAGTATTAGCTCAGTTGAGTAAGATTTTGCTGCTTGATGCTGCCAACTTTATAACAGGGGGATAAAGCGCGAGTAATACAAACCTTACTCTTTGTATCCGGGATCAACACACTTCTCCAAGCATTGTTCGGGACACGATTGCCAGCAGTCGTTGGAGGATCGTACGCTTACGTTATTCCAGTAGCCTACATCATAAGCGACTCTTCGTTGCAGCAGATCACCGATCATCATGAAGTGAGAGTCTCCCTTACTTCTTCTCAATATGCAATTTCTGGCCAACATTCATTATGCAGGGAAATGAGCCCTTTCTGTGCTTTTTGTTGTTGCAGAGGTTCATACATACAATGCGGGCTATTCAAGGCGCTCTAATTGTTGCTTCGAGCATCCAAATAATCCTTGGTTACAGCCAAGTATGGGGTCTTTTCTCAAGGTAAGTTCTTTTTCTGGTTGCTCGGAGACAGATTCAAGAGTTAAAAGCTGTCATTTGAGAACCCTTTTTTTCTCTTCTTTTTGAATGTTGCTTGCAGGTTCTTCAGTCCTCTTGGCATGTCACCTGTAGTTGGTTTGGTTGGTCTTGGGCTATTCCAACATGGGTTTCCAGCAGTATGTGTTATGTTAATCTATAACCTTAAACATTCCGATTTCCGAATCACTGCATTAAGATCGAAACTCACATTCCTTTCAAACGAATTGCGGTTGTTTTTCAGTTAGGAAGATGTGTAGAAATCGGGCTACCAATGTTGCTTCTAGTCATTGGCTTGTCACAGGCAAGTATCTATCCAGAACATAAAAACTTTCATTTTTCAATAGTTCTTCTCTAACTTGGACTTTGGTGGCTCCAGTATCTAAAGCATGTGAGACCATTTAGAGATGTTCCAATATTTGAACGGTTCCCAGTCTTGATCTGTGTCACCATTGTGTGGATCTACTCCATTATCCTGACTGCAAGTGGTGCATACCGGAACAGGCCAGATCGAACCCAAAGGAGCTGTCGAACTGACAGAGCAAATCTCATTTCCACTGCTCCTTGGTAATGTTTTGAAGTTCGGGACTTCTTTCACCCTATCTTTCTTCAATTTCCTGTGCTCAGTGTTTTTGTGCCGTTCTTTCAGGTTTATGTTCCCATATCCTCTGCAATGGGGCCCGCCTACATTCTCCGTTGGCCACTGCTTTGCCATGATGTCAGCAGTCCTTGTCTCTATGGTTGAGGTATACACAAAAAAAGCTTCAGTTTCTTCCAATGCAAGTAACTTGAGTTTGTTCTGGACTTCCCTCTGTTTTTGCTTCTCACCATCGATGGAATCCATGGCTGCAGTCAACTGGAGCATACAAGGCAGCATCTCGACTGGCCATTGCTACTCCACCACCAGCATATGTACTCAGCAGAGGCATTGGCTGGCAAGGAGTTGGGATACTGCTGGATGGTCTCTTTGGGACAGGAACTGGTTCCACTGTTTCTGTGTAAGGACACCATGAAATTTCTACTGCTTTTCCTTTTCCATCATTACATCTCAATACTTTTGTTTCAACTTCTGCTCTTGTGATATTTTCCACAGTGAAAATGTGGGACTCCTGGGGCTAACTAGAGTTGGAAGCCGCAGAGTTGTCCAAATCTCTGCAGGCTTCATGATCTTCTTCTCCACCTTAGGTTGGTAAAAAGGACCATCCATTTTTCAGTTCCAATTGCGTCGAAAATCAATCCATCCCTCTTATGGGGTTTCCTCTTTCTGCAGGGAAATTCGGAGCTGTTTTTGCCTCCATACCATTCCCAATATTTGCAGCCCTATACTGTGTTCTCTTTGGACTTGTGGGTAAGACCAGTTAACCCAAGCTAAGTAGAATTTGTCAACCCAAATCCCCTCTTCCTTTGGCTAAACTCTTTCTGTTCAATTTGTGGTTGGTGTTTGCAGGTTCAGTGGGACTGTCGTTTCTGCAGTTCACTAACATGAACTCAATGAGAAACCTAATGATCACAGGGCTATCTCTCTTCCTTGGTATCTCCATCCCCGCATTCTTCAACGAGTACCTCAACCCGGATCGTCATGGCCTTGTTCACACCAATGCCGGATGGGTAAGTTTGTTCTGAAAAAGAAAATGGATGTTAACTTTGACCCTTGAAGATGGAATCCGGTTAACCGTTGATTTTTTTTCTTCTGTTGCAGTTCAATGCATTTGTGAATGCGATATTCCAGTCACCGGCAACAGTAGGGCTGATCGTGGCAGTGTTTCTGGACAACACTTTGGAGGTGGAGAAATCGAAGAAGGATAGAGGGATGCCATGGTGGGTAAAGTTTAGAACTTTTCGTGGAGATAACAGGAACGAAGAGTTCTACACTTTGCCATTCAACCTCAACAGATTCTTCCCGCCCACTTAGGCATGCATGTTCATAGATAAGACAACCATAATTGAAGGAAGTGAATGGGTTTCATTCAAGTCAGTCAGAGGGTCCTTTTTTGTTCTCTAGAAATTGTAAATTCAGCAGTAATCAAATGATAAGTCATAACAGATAACAGTTCCCACCCCTCTGCAATACTCTACAATCTTACCTTTTAGATTCAGTAGCAAATGTCCATTTTTTTGAACAAATAATGAAATGAGTTCAATTTTTAGATTCATAAGTAATTCAAATGGTAGGTTCTAGCACATGTGGAAAGGTCGAGGACGGGTTTGAGGATGATTGGAGATTGAAAAGCGCCAAGAAGTGAAAAACAGTCAAAAGTTGCGGACCGGGGATAATTGTCATTGTCTCTGGGTCGTGACAATTGAGCCCAGGGCGTGACATTTGCAAGAAACAGAACCATTTGCACACCTCGCAGGCTAATTAATTGTCCCGGTCACCAGACCGTGACAATTGACCACAGACCGTGAAGTCGGACAAAAATGGCAGCTGTCACTTGAGTTTTGTGTCGATGTTACGGTTTGTGGTCATTGTAACAGCCGTGACATTCAGCTCGTGATAGTGACTGTCGGACTGTATAAATAGAAGACAGCTGGGAGAGAGAAGGAGAGGTTGGAACTTGGTTAGGTTTTAGATTTTATGGGTTCCAGCTGAAATACCCGAAAGAGGAACCCTAGTGAGAGAAATGTCTTCTTCTTCAAAATCTAGAGAGAAAGTGATCAACAAGGAGAGAAGGAGAAGATTTGGGCTTGCTCTAAGCTAGAGGAGCGAAGATCTTCATCTCTCAAGGGAGTTCTCATCAACAAGGAGGGAAGACAAGCATCCACCATGGTTCTTTCTCTCTTCTTTGTTGTAATCCCTAGCCTAGCTATGGAGTAGTGTTCTGTTTCATTTGGGTATTGCGAACCCTAGGTTTAGATATGTGATAGGTTGTATGGATTAAAAGATATGTTTTTGGGTTTGTGTTTAATGCAAAGTTTGAGGTATTTTCAGAATTCTTGGGTTGTGTTCTTCATTTCTCATAACCATGTCAAATTGACCTAGGTGGACAGAATCCTCTTTTGTTAGAGGCTTTGAGAAGATGGAGTTCTTGGCCATTTGAGTCACCCACCTAGGGCAATTTAGGGCAAGCCTCAAACTTCAATTTGACACCCTGATTGGTTGTTATTTTGTCGTCCGGATTAAGTACCGAGGGAGTAGTTTGGAAACCCTCGGTTGATTGGCCAAGAGAGCTAGTTTCCTAGCATAATTTGTCATTCCTTGGCCTATCACCCGAGAGAGTGAAGTTCCTTCACTAGTTGCACCCTCCTTACGACACATGAGCATACCTTTACACATTTGCATTATATTCGGTCGATCTTGATATGTAGCTAGGGAGAGCGATACCCGGGTGCATTTTTCTCTTATTGGGACAACCTAAATTTACTTTACTTGTTTATTTGGTACTTTTCTTAGTTTTCACTAAAACTTGGTGCCAGAGCTTACAACCACAAAGTCCAATCACATAGCCACCCGTTTGAGCTCTACTAACTTTAAATTGTGGGAGTTTTAGATCCAAATTTCAATTGAAGGCAAAGGTTTATTTGGATTGCTTGATTGTTCTTCACCGAGATCTATGGTGCGGTGGTGCCACCTTCATTAGAGCAAGACGTCTCGAAGTGGCATCAACAGGATGCTTGGGTCCGGTCAAATCCAAGATTGTTCTTGGTTTATGTCTTCTGCCAACAACAATTGTGATGTGTAATATGTAGTAGTATTGGCTAGTAATAATAATCTTAGATTTTGTCTAAGGTCGTATTCCTCGGCCCTTTTGATAGCAAATACTTTGAAACTAATTTCTTGTGTTTGAGATGGTAATGCAAAGAAAAGTAAATCGGATGGGTTGAGGTTCCCTTATGATAGCCGATATTCTACTCTAAAATAGTCAAGTAAACAAATGATTAAAGCAAGTAAATCAAACAACGAGTAAGCAAAGGATTGAAAGTATTCTTTATGTAGATCTCAATAATGAAATGCATCTTCTTCTATCATGATGTCATATATCCCTTCCACTAAAGCATTCCTAATTGAGCTTTCGTCATATGCAAAAGGAACTACAACTAGTTAATGCGTGCTTTCGCTTCATAGCATTAACTAATCAATAACCCAAAGAAGTAAAGATAGTACATTTTCATTTAAGACCTCTATGAGCTCATAATATTGGTCTATGACATTGATGATCTAGGACATCAAGCATCGATCTCATACAAGCATGCAAAGTTGGGCATTTAATCCATACTCGCATGATATAAATGCATACACACAAAAGTATTTTCCTAACAACCTAAGACGGTATACAAACAAAACTATAGTAACAAATGTTAGATGATTTAGAGCATCGATAGACTAAGTCATCTCATTAAATTATAGAAAGAAAAGATCCACGATCAACATAGAGCTCACATCCATAAACAATAGAAGACTTAGGAAGCCACGGATGAGGTAAAAGATTGTCTTGACCTCCATTCCACCCCTCCTATGAATGCTAACAAGATCAAGGAACACGAGGACCTAGCCTTGACCTATTGAAATTGCGGGTACAAGATTGTCTATCTAAACTGAGCCTAGGCCTCTATTAAAAGAAGGGTATTCTAGGGATTTCTTCCATAAAATCGGACCTTAGCATCCTTGTACCACTTGAACTAGGATTCTTTGACTCACAGATGAAGAAACAGGCTTTCAAAAGCATCTACCGGGCTTGGGCCACCGGCTGTCACCCAACGGTCAACATCGTCACCCTTTTTGTTCCTCAGTGGTTTGCGCGGCCCACTAGTAACCCCTTAGTGGATTTTTAGCATGACTTGAGGTTTCTGGGGTTGCGGCAACCCAACGACGGTTGGACCCATCGTGGATTCCATCCTCTGTTTGGGCTGAAAATTTTCCATTGGACTCCTCTAGGGCTCATATGAAGTCTTCATGTTTTGTCCCCTTCCATTGGGCTTCGTTTAATGGATGAATTACTCCTTGATCTTCTCATAATAACCCTCTTTTGATCCAATTCATCATGAATTGCTTTTGACCTTGAACAGACCAGTGCTACTATTTTGAACCGTGATTCGGTGAAAATTGAAGGGGTTCCTGGAAGTTTGATTATGGAGGAGATTCGTCTGCCTACACCAGCTATTCTCGATGCGCGACTTGGTTTCGATGATGTGACCGTCTTAAGCACGACGACCAAAGGAGTTGGAACTGCTAGAGTTGCTGGCATACCCCTGCTAGATGCACCTCTCATCATGCCCGACAAATAATTGGAGCTAAGATCCCCATCAATACCGAGGCAACTAGCCTACCTTTGTTGCACACACGTCGCCATTCCATCATCATTCTTCATATGAGATGGAATGCCACCATTGTAAGGAGAAGGGACATACCCAAAAGTTCTGCCGAAGAAGGAAATTGTGTGTCTACTGCAAGAAGAATGACCACATCATCTTAGATTGGAATTATATTTAGTTTCGAATGCCATGCAACAACAATAGTGACTTTATGAACTAATCCTCTTTGCGCCCTGCATATGTGACACAAACAACCATTTCTAGTTCTGATGGAGTGGTGGTTACATTGGTAGCCTTGGAGTTGCTGGCCAACAAGGCTAAAGTGTCTGCATTTGGCAGTCTTCAAGCATCGTGTAAGCTCTCTAATTGGGTCATCGATTTGGTATGTTTTAGTAACTTGGAAAGGAATGCGTCTTTGATTTAAAATATTTCCCCTTTAAATTATTTATCATTTCAAGTTGTGGATGGAAATCAACTTGCCATGTTTGGCATAGTTCAGTAAAACATTTGTATATGACTTACCTGATACATTCCATGTTGCTCGGTTAGTTCTTAACTTCATTTCAGCCAAACAACTTATTAAGCAAGGTTTTTGTGTTATTTTTACCCCACTGATTGTGTTATTCAAGATTTGAAGACGGGGAGGGAGTTTAAAAGGGGGTATCAAGCGTGTCCATATATTTCAACTGGAAGAGCTTAAAGGAGTTGTCAATATCACATGCATCATCATCATCGAATTCTTGTCGAGTGTCGGAGATAAAAAAAATTCATTAGTAGCAGTAGCATGCTAGGTTGGGGAAGGTCTAGTGTGCTAACAACCTTTTTGTAGGCATGGTGCTATCACTAGCTCTAGCCAATATGAACATTTTTTTATAACTTTTTAATTTAAATGGGGTGACCAAAATTAATGAGGAGAGACACACGGAGTGACACGCTGATCGTTATGAAATTTTGAGGGGAGGAGAGATTCACGCATGTGTGTGCATTAAAGGGGGGTACACAATACAACAAAACACACCACAAAAAAATTACAAAGGCCGAGAAACCATACCATAACCTCACCACCAAAGTCATAAAGCATACTAGAAAACTAGTAAAGCATACCAGAAACTTTAGAAAGCATATCACAACACAACAAATACCAGAAAGCATACCAGAAAGCTTATAAATCATACCACAAGATTCTTAAAGTACACCACAAGTTCTTTGAAGCATACCAGAAACCTCATTAAGCATAACACATGTCTATTAAAGTATATGACATGTTTCTTAAAACAGACCACAAGTTCCCCGAAGTAGACTAAAAATCTCATAAACTATTGCACAAGTTTCTTAAAGTAGACCACAAATTTCTTAAAACACACCATAAGTTTCTTGAAGTATACCACAATCTTATAAACACTTACAACAAATGTACCATGTAAATTGATCGCGTGTAGTACGTGGATGCAATACTTGGTCCAAAGGTCAGGATCATATTCTCTAGGTTCTCTCATAACTACTTACTGATGTGGTGAGTTCTATGGTTGAAAAATGTATTTAGGAGGTTGAGGTGCCTCTGGTTTTACAAAACATAAGTTAAAGAAAAAGACAATTGCATAAACTAAAACCTATAACTATCTAGTGAAGAAAGACAGAAGAGAAAGGTGTTGCATATGCAGGATCCTCCTAGAGCTCGTTGACTCGTAATCTTACGATTAAGATTATGTCCTTCTGTGGTAAGAAGAATCCGCTTAATGCAGCATTCTATAACCATGGATCGCAAGCTCGATCTTGGTAACATATGAGTTGCTTGATCTTTTTTAGGTTTAATCCTACCATGTGCCGTGGTGAATGCCAAGTCTAGTAGGCAGCGATATGGACCCACCAGATTTCTCCCTTGAGGATGTTACACAGTTTAATCGATTGATGATCGACCGAG